ACGTGGCCAGTAGAAAACCTGTTCTTCCAGCAGGGAAGAGCTGTGCAAAGATGATAGCCCTTGTTGGATCTGTGAGAGATTTTCAGGTGCCTTTCCACTAGATGTTAAGCCTCCTGCTTCAAATCCAATGCCTCTATCCACACAGAAAGCTGCAAAACAACATAAAAGCAATGCTCCAAAATATGATTACACTGTAAAGGACTGACTGCCTCTGAAATAAACAAGAACTTACACGGTGACACGGATGTCCCCAGTCTCTTAACAGGGTAATCCAATCAGGAAGTAGTCGGGCAATAAAACCAGAGAATGCCTGTTATTTTTTTCTGCCATTGTAAGTTGCTAATTCTGCATCACTCCTACCAATATTACTATTTTTACCTTGTGGTCTGCAAAATCAGCTCAAGTGCACAGTATCTTTGGCTTTATTATGATCTTGTCCACATCTGCTGTAATATCCATCACAACTTCTGGGACAGAAGTAACTGCTCCATGCCTTTTCACTGAAATCCTGAGAGGTCTTAGACCTCAGATGCCTACTTTGACTTTTTCAGAGCCTGAAGGCATTTTGGTGTTACTGGAATGGTTCTCCTTGAATATGCCCAGCAAGCTCAATATTTTCATAGTTTGGGTTAGATCTTTATCTGTTCTCGTGTAATTAATTTATTACCATTGTATTTGTAATTTTTTGGTGCATGGACTACCTCCCAAATGCATGTATATTCATTTTTTTTCTAATGTGATTTTAGGAGGACTGTAGACCTCCTATGCAAAAAGAAGACCTTACACTAAAACATATTTTTTGTTTTGCATGCTAGGTGATGTGTTTGATGAACAAAGAAGAGGATCTAAAGATAAAACTTCATTTCCTGAGACAGGAGCTACATACACCAAACCTATGCAGGTAGGAGACGGTTTCCTTAAGTATGTACAAGCATTTCTTTAAAAAAGAATACAGTATTAAACTGTTGTCATTTGAAATATTTCTAGAAATATAAGCTGGTAAATTTTGCTCTTACTCTGCAGACAGTGGTACATGTGTGGCTGGATTGAAATATATAGTGGTTCTGTTGAGAACCAAAGAAAAGTTAATGAGGTAAAGAAATGCAAAAAAAATCCAAACACCTTTTCAATGGTGAAAGCTAATAACATTCTACAAAATGAGAGCTATTGCATTAAGCCATTCTCTATGAGTCTGAAGTATATGTGGCCCTTATTGTGGTTTATTTAAATTTCAGTGTACTTTATAATACTTATCTTCACAACACCCTTGGGAAGCAGAGAAATAATATTCTGTGCTGAGACAAAGCGACTTGGCCACAGTCAAGCATCAAGTCTGTGATAGAGTTGGATGTTGCACTAGGTCTCCCACATTCCAAACTCTGAATCTCACTCCTGAACCATTTTCCTCTCTTTTGGAAAAGCCAGCAAAAAAATTCTTGTTTTAACTTTCAAATCTGCTTTCCCATAGTCTTCAAGGCAGTGGATTTGCATGTAGGAAACCCTGAATCTATGCTCAGCTTTCATAAGAACTTCTTTAATCCTACTTGAAAGGGCTCACAACTTGGAGGTTTTTCCAAAGGGTCTTCTGCATATTCACACCACTGATGGAGCTCTGACAGTCGAACCTTTCATAGCTGCGTTCAGTGGCGCCTTTCCTGCCACTCTGTCTCTTTCCCCACTGTTTCTGAGCATGACACTTTATTCATCTCAGTTTCTTCCAGCTGGTGCATCTCATAGATGGTACTGGCTTTTGGCTCAGGTACCATGACTTTTACTACTTAGGTTTTATTCCTTATAAATTTTGAAGTTTTAATGGTTAGAATTTCTGTTCTGTAATTTAAAGCTGATGGTGAGTCTGAAGGAACAGACTTCAAGAAGTACAACTCTTGTGTCTGCCTTTGGATATTTATAGAAGATGCCTCACTTTCCTTGTGGGAGGCTTCTGTCCCTCAAAAGGCTGCACATACTGTGCTTTCACCCTGAGGGCTTAGAAGGAGCATAAAAATGGACTCTTAAGTGCTAGTCCTATAAAAAACTCAGTCAGCCAAGCCTTCCAGATCTAACACACCTGTCACGTCTGTGAAAAACAGATCAGAGGCTGCCGCAGTGCATCTGGGGAGAGGAAGCAAAAAACTTCCTTTTGTGGTGGAGTTGGGGAAAGGTGTACCACTTTCTTTCCAAGCTCCAAGAAACCCGTGGTACCCAAGGAGTAGTGGTCAGATTAACATATCTGAAATTGTAAAGGAGAGAAATCTATTAGTGATGTCCACTGTAAGCAGAATCAGTCCCTTAGGGGCAAAAAAGGATTAGAGAACAAAAAAGGATACTATCACTAGAATTTATTGTGAGTGTTTTTTTTGGTTCCAGCTTCTAAACTATCTAAACCTACATTGAGCCATTGTGATCTTGAATATATAAAGAAACAGACACAAGCATTGACTGATGTCATGTAAGGCTCTCTGTTCCACATTTCATCAATAACTGAACATGTTGGTTGTGGTTCAGACCCATGAGTCTGCACAAGCACAATTAATTTCAGATCTGGAAAAAGTAGCAGATACTCAAGAAAGAAGAGAGAACTTGTTTTGGACCCTATATTACTGATTCTTCTCTGCAGAACAGAGAAAAGGTGGAGGAGCATCATGAATCACTCTCTAAAACTCCCATTGCTCTCCTGTTATAATGCTATCAGTTCCTTTTAAACTGGTATACAAGATCACTTGGCTGTCCTTTGTTACCAGGGTCTCATCTGGAACCAAGAAAAGAGTCTGAGCAACCTAGCCAACCATAAAGAGCAAGTATGTTGCAAAAGAAATACAGGAGATGCATACAGTGGTAGACAGTCCAGAATGGTCTAGCATGGACTTATATGGAATTGGCACATTGTCCCTACTCCAGCACCGTAGATGATCATGTTCATTCACACCCTTGCCTGTTTGGCACCATTACATACTGCTTATACAGTAGATGCTTGCTAGTAGCAGTAATTCAGCATCCTGGTGCTGTGTTGCTCCTAGGTAGCTGGTGGTGTTATAGGGAGTATTATCTGGCCAACAGCACCCACTTTTTTCTGATATATGAACAGTATTCACTCTACTCTTTTTTTTTTCAAGTTTATTTAATGTATTCTTAATGGTACTCTGGTTGAGACCATCTGTAATTGTAATAGTGCAGTGTATGTCTATTATTATTACAGTACTATTATTAGATTGTGCAGTTATTCCTATACCACTCTGTACTGATTTTTTTTACAGTTTTTTGTGAGTTGAAAAGGATTTTTGGGTTGCATTTACACAGAATGTATTAGAATAGCACAGCAGTATTAATGGAATTTCCACTAAAAGGTGCATTGTGGTGGGTATCAGCTTGTACATTTTCTTTAAAAGGGTAAATTGAGGCATTTTAGATGAAAGAAATCAGTTAGTTTGCACTGCTGTTTCTCAGTCACAGTTTTGTTCTGGGAATGAGATTCAGTGGCCTGAATACCTCTATGGACCCTGTCACAGAGCCCGTCCAGCTGTGAGAATTGGTGAACTGCATTCAGTCTTCAACCTTTCTATTTTTGTCAGAGGTGGAGCTTCACCAAAATCATCCTCAACTTCTTGACCTTCTTGTCTCATCTTTTGACTTGAGCTAGTTGCAACAGCTGTGGGTCTGTGTAATTCCTCATCAGTTAGCTTATCCACAGCCATAGCAGATGCATGATGCCAGAAGGTGAAATATTCATGAGATCATCAGATTCTTTTGTATCTTCACGTTGCTCTTCTTTTTCCCCAATACAGGAAGTGTACCTTTCTTGAAGCAGCTGGAAATTGTTTTCAGCTGAGTATCTTGCCATGTCTCAATAGCAAGGTAAATACCAACTGGCGAATTTATACGGTTCAGAACTGTCAATATAGCTGTATTAGAGTCCACAGTAGAGCACAGTCATCTCGTTTGTGATATTTGATCACTAGGGGTCTACCTAATTCATGATTTTACAGAAACTGTGAATTCTGGAATTGTCCACAAAATAAAGTAAATGTTTCCCCCCCCCCTCTCCCCGTGGGAGTCAGCAGCACTCGCTGCTGCTGCTGCCCAGTCTTGCAGGCCACCCAGCAGGGAAGGTGCCAGCTTGCATGGCAGCAGACAAGATGGTGACCACCCCTTTTTCCCTCCTCCCCCAGCAAAGCGTCTCTGCCAGTCAGTGTCACGGGGCGGGGCTGCATGATGGGCAGCCAGCAGACAAGATAGCAGGCACCCCCTCATCCCTTCTCTCTGCCAGAGCCTCTCTGCCAGTCAGCACTGAGGGGTGGAGCCAGCAGAACACATCTGGGAAATACCATAGAATTTGCTTTTTATACCGCAACCAACCTGCACAAATTGTTTCATCTCACTGTGCTTTTAGTAGGTCCTTATTGATCAGTAATTTCCCTTCCTGTTCTTATTGCACCATGATTCACAAATTGCATCAAAACCATAGGGGTAGGGAGTTGAAAACGTTGAGCTAAATGTTACGAACAACCATCTCTTGGAGATATGGAGAGCAGTTATCCAATAAGAAGTACCTTTCACGGCTCTGGATACTAAACTGACAATCTCACTTCTTCAGACAGTCAAAGAACCAGTCATCTGTCATCAAGACATTTTCTTGATTGTCATCATTGAAGGGAAGCTTAGTAATGCCCTATGGAAAATATCTAAGAGGTTTTGATTTCCCAGTCATGAACAGTGGATGTTTATGACCCTGTGTTTGAACAGGGGAGCTCAGATATTCTACCCTTTGCAACTGTCATATCTTCTGGGTTTTCCTTTTTTCCTGGCATGTCCTTTGTCACAGATAGTCTTATTTTGTATGCAGTGCAGTGAAACATTTTCAGTAATGTGGGAAGTGTTTCATTCTTTCATGGCCTAGATGTTAATTTATCCTCTGACTTTTTCTCCGTACTCTCCTGTTTTGCAAATAACGTTGAAGCATTTCTTCCCTCTTTTAAGTCAGCATCACTTGCCTTAAAATCATGCAGTCTAACTGAAGTGACAAGCTAGATCCTTTTTCTTGATTGCAGATCCAAACAGCACTGCTCCCTGTGCACTCTTTTTATTGAATTCTGTAAAGAAGTTTTCATCAACATTAGGGGCTTTTCATGTTTATGAAGACTCTTCTGCAATCCATTGTCATAGCCAAAAGTTTTTATATTATCTCTTAGTTTCCAGATTTTGCATTCAATCTTTGCAGTTCCTCTTTGACTGCAGCTTGGTTTTGATTAACACTGGGAACTTGACAATTTTTGATAACCTTGACTCTTTTCTTCCAGTGAGACTTCTTGGCATTGTGTCTGTTTTTGATGAAAAAGCCCTATATGTGACCTGACGTTAGGAAGGAAGGACATGCCCATAGATTACATGAAAGGAATGTAAATACACTATTTGCGAATGTTAAGCAGCAGCTGTTTCTGTTACCAGGTGGATAATACATGGAGAATGTTCCCTGGGGAAATGTTGCTGGTAAGCAGCTGTTGTTCTTTTTAGGTGCTGCTGCAAATGAATATCTACTATCCTAGCAGTCTTCCCACTGTGAAGTAAGGTTTCCATTGTCTGGTGCGAAGCACTGAGATATGTCTTCAGTACCTAAAGAGAGCTTCTTAGCAGCAGTGGCAATCCCTCATGGTCAAGGATGATCACACCTATGGGTCATGTAAATTTTGTAAATGAGTCCATTGATGGCTAAGAAGGCCGATCCTAGAGCATCAGCCTTTCTGGCTAATGCCATAGAGGGTGATTAAAGTGAGGGTCAAAGTGCAGATTTCTCGGTCTTGTTCCCTTTGCTTCCATTTCTGTTTTTTTCTGCCTCCAGGGTGAGACAGTTTTCCTCAAAGTAAGTACCTTCTCTTGCAAGGCGTCACCATGTAGCCCTGTCTTGGG